AATACAAAAATGTCAATAAACGTAATACCACAAGCTTTTCAGGACAGGTAATAAGTTTATTATTAGAAGATTAATGTTTGTGGCATAAAGGGAAATTCTTCTATCGTAAGAGATTGATTGTCACATGACTAAAACCTTCATATTCGTTTTGTAGATGGTTTAAAGAGGTCAAGTGTTACGATTGCTGGGATGATTAAAAAATCAATTGTATCAAATTGCATAAAAAAATATTAGTGTAATAAGTTTATCATACAAATATTATTATGGGTAACATTTCCTGATTTGTTGGTACACTAAAAAATATTTATAAAGACAAAACACAATTATACGTAATTATTGAATATACGTTACATTAAATATAGTTTGATGCATAGTTTTTCTTTGGAAACTAACTTAGTCATTTAAATGACGATGCGTCTTAAAAACTGAGAATTGTCATTATAAAAAAATTTGTGTTATTAATAGGAACATAAATGTAGCATGGGAAATCTAAAGTGTTCATGTATACGAAGTGTGTTCGACACAACTAGTCATGTAGTATGATAGAATTAGCTTTAACTCGATTTAAATTTCGAGAAGTTAATAGTAGTATAAGAAAATTTTTATCTAGTTTTCTGTGTTTATAATATATTTTAATACTTGCAAATATCTAAAAAGTCCAGCAAAGGCCCCCCAAAAAAATGGTAAAAGTAGCCAAAACAGGTTTTTTGTGCCTAGAAAAAAAACTCAAAATCGTACAAAAAAAGATAATCGCGTTCTAATAAATATTTAGAGCTCAAATTTAGACTCAAAGTAGGTATCAGTAAACTTCATATACACACTAAATTTCAGCGAGATCAGTTTTAAATTTTTTGCGAACTGCTAAGAAAACTAAAAAAACTAAGGTCCTTTCGTGAAATGGCAATAAAAAGTTTTGGCGCAACGTTGCTTTATTTTTCACAAGCTCTCTTGTTCGTCAAGAGTTCATCTATAAAGTCTCCAAATGCCATTTTATTTTAGCACGAGAAAGTGTGTTAAAAGTGGTCCTTTGCGCTCGGTGCACGTGGATAGAAATTAGAGTGGCGATGGCTTACCCGACTGAGCTGCTTAGTGCTTCTACATTTCTTCTACTACAAAAAATTATCGAAGACCAGATATTTTACATTACCGTTTGTAATGCTAATAACGCAAGTGCTTTTAAAAACAATTGAAAAAATAATAAAATTAATGTTGCACACAGTGTATGATTTAAAGACTTACGTTGCTATACTCTATATTTATGTCGATAATAACGAGTGAGAAGTTGTCAAAGATTAGATTGTGCTCTGGTGTACCTGTTTTGTCATTAAAATAAATTTGTATGTTTGTGCTACGGATCTTGTACAGCAAAGAATGCGCATCATAAGGTGTATTTTTGAGACCGTAGAAAACACAATTTTCCAGCTGCCAGACGTGTATTTTAGCAGCAGCACTCTGGAATTTACTGCTCATCTCGTCAAACGTTTAAGCAGTATTTATTGTTGACAATATTTAAATAAATCCAAATTAAAAATTACAGTAATAAAGTATTTTGCCTTTCGCAGTAAAAATAAGAAAAACATACGTAATAGAATTTGTCGTTTACTTGCAACTAAAATAATTTAGCTTGTTCGTCTAGACAACAATAATTTTTTTTTTATTTATTTTGATTTTCGTAATATTTGGAAGTTAACCTCTGTGCAGATATTGTAGTGTTTGACTCTGTTGCATGCACGCTTGCAAACAACACGCCTCCTCATCTTACTGTCAGTCTATGTCACCCACTGTAACATCTTAACTTCATGTGTACACCACATACATGTCCACCAACAGCTCACAATTGAATGACAAAAGCCTCGTGCAAGAAACGGGAAAAATCGAGTGTTGAGTAGCGTTGGTCAAAGTTTAGTCAGACAAGAGAAAATACTTTTTTGACCTCACCTTAAGCATACTATCACGGATACGAGTGGTATAAGTCAATATATCGACAGACATTCTTTTAATATTGTTCAAAATCAAATAAACAGATTAGGCTGCGCTTACATGAAATCGATAGAATTATTGCATTTGCTATTATTAAAGAAAAAATAGGCATTTTTTTGTTGACATTAAATGTTGTGACATCTGTAAAATTATGTGGGTGACCCAACTTACCGACCATTGTCTTCGATGTATAAAATTTGTAAATTATTATTCTATAAATCATATCACGAACACAATACATTGTAATAATGCTTTCTTACTAAAATGTCGGTGAATAATCTTTTTTCTCAGTTTAACATATTATTTAGATATTTTCGAAACCAAAGTAAATTTAAACTTCACTGGGGTCTTCCAATCTTAAGTAAATAAGATTGCATGTAAGCACAGCCTTACTTATACTTAGCATGTACTCGAATGACATAATACACGGCACAACTATAACAACAGAGGTATGGGAGTATCGACTACGTAAAATGAAGTATACTAGAAAGTGCCAACGTAAATGCTCACACTAAAGTATATAGGACAACATTAAATCGTTTCAAAATTTTTTACGGGTCATTATTTAAAGTTTATAAATGTTTAACTTAAGCTCTTCGGACCGTACGCTCTTAAGAAAGAATACGTTTTTAACCTCAATTAATTTTTTTATCGATAATTTTTTCAAGATTCAGTCAGCAAAATTCCGTAGTATATTATGATACATTAAATGAAAAACATAAACAGTAAGCTAAATCAATTTGCTTACTGTAAGAGGGGTACGGCTGTATAGAATCAGAATAATGTTTTTTTTCTTTTCTACATCACGGGACTTCTAACTATCTTTAACAGCTGAGAAACCTCAGTTTAATATGCCTTAATGACGAATTATGATGATAAAAACATTTAAAATTGAGATAATATTTTAAGATAACTCGATGCCTCTCATATAGTGCGCTGTGATGTGTTCTTTTTTTCTTTAAAAATCCCGTAAAAATCATTATTTTGGCCTATCTTGCTTTCTTGTCAAAATAAAGCGTAATCTTTAATACTTTAAGGTTACGTCATATTTTACTACCTATTAAATCAATATTAGCTGTCTGCATTGATCTGCTACGCATGACAAGTTTTTTTGATAGTTAACCTTATTAAAATAATAATATTAACTAGGCTTTATTTGTATTAAACATAGTACACATGTACATGCACATTACCAACTTCCATACATAAGTTACAGACACATTCATACGTGTTTTGCACTATGCATCTGCACACACGGCGCACAAGGCAAAATACATGAGCATAATACACTTTATACTCACTTTACATACGTAGAAGAATCCGAAGAGAAACGGTGAGGCTCGTATTGGATTTCTTATTTTTTTTAAATAAATTAATTTCTTTGGTATTTGATGTACTGATGCCTTTATCGATCTATCAATACATCGACGAAGTTTCTGCATATAATCACACTGTATACTCAATTATAGTAGTAACTCATTCAAAAACGGTTGTATTCACAGCCTAGTCACACACCCTAAAAGAAGTAGAAAGAAAAAGAAAGGCGACATGAGCATTTTCGTGGTTGATTATCTTGTTAACTGTATTTTAAGTATGTCATCGCCATTTTTTCTAACAAAAATCATTACCAAACGATCCAATCGTGTAAAAATTTCATAACATCGAAATCACCCCGATAAAACACTATGTTTGGAACTTATTTTCATTAACTAAAAATTTTAAATCCTAAATTAAAAGCAAATAGTGTACGTGGGTTCATGTGGTGTGATTGGCACAATCATACCACTTGATACAAAAGATTTGTAGGTGTATTTGAATTACTTGCTTTACATTAAGATATAGGTATTTCTATTTGAAAAAGCTCTGTATCATCAAGTTTCTCTGAAAATTTTTGTTAAGTCATTCTCCACATAAGATTTGTTTTCTCATGATTTTTCATTTTATTGGTTCTTTCTTGTTTTTTATAACAGCTTTTATGTACAATCAATACTTGTAAAAATTTCATATTTTTAAATAGATAATAAACCAAGCATATATAAATAAGTGAAAATTTTATTATCGATTACTTAAGGACCAGGAAAGTAAAGTAAACATAAGATTTACTAAAATAAGTGACGTTTCTCTGTCCATAGGTTTGTCGATCTGGCTAACTTTATTTAATAAAATATTGTTTGACCATTACACCGTTAGTATGGCTAGAATGGAAATAAGTATCTGTTACCGCTCTAAAATGTGTTAGCGTCAACTTCATAATAATTAACACTGTACTGTTTCTTGAAAAAAGTTAGCCTGCTAAGGCTGGCAAACCTATGGCTAGCAAAACGTCGCTTATATAAGAAAATCTTGTGTTTATTGTATTAACCTGGTCCTCAAGTGATTATTGTTAAGATTTTCGCCTATTCTCAACTTATGGAAGACGATTATAACCCTTCTGTTGTATGTATAAGCATGAGTTAATACGAACTTGTGGCAAAAAAAAAAAATTTGTAGGTTTTCCATTTCATTTAGTCAGAGCTTACTTATAAATCGTATATTTAATTATAAACAACTTTAAGTAAGCAATCTGTAGTATAGCAATAATTTATACTGAGATAACATTTAAAATTGTTATAACTGTATAGTGTTCAATAATAATACAATCGAGCATTTATATTAATAACATTCATTCTTAATTCTAAATAAAATTTACATGAGTAATTAATCTACGTTGGATAACTTTTACGCGACTAAAATAACATTTCTAGGACTGTAGCTACTTAGTTCAAAGATTCCAAAATACTTTATTCAGATTCCTTTTTATTGGTATACTTAGGTAAATTAAAGTGTCTTTTTATATGTTTCTCTCATTTAAGGTAAAATTTATTTTTCAAAAACCAAACTTAGGTTGTTTTGATTATCTTTATAGTTATTTAGTTAATAAACTACTTAACATTTATATATTACAAACCCAAATATCAATTAAAAATCCATAATTTTATTAAAAATATGTTTTTAATATTTTACTAATCTTTATGTTTTAGGTTATGCCCTTAGAAAATAATATGAAAACTCCAGCACACTTTATTGGATGTCCAGGAGTACTTAACATAGGAATGTTTTTCGTGGTAACATTATACAGTTTTGTTGGATTTTTTGGATATTTAAAGTATCAAGAGAAAACAAACGGCTCTATCACCTTAAACTTAGATCAAGAAGACATTCTGGCTCAAGCAGTGAAAATTATGATAGCAGCTGCAATATTTTTTACGTATGGTCTTCAATTTTATGTACCAATGGAGATTATTTGGAAAAATATCAGACATCTTTTCAGTGGAGAAAAAATGATTGCTGAGTATGTAATTCGAATTATTTTAGTCACTTTTACCGTTAGCATGGCCATTGCAATCCCAAATCTTGGACCATTTATTTCCTTAGTTGGAGCACTATGCTTATCTACATTAGGGCTTATGTTTCCTTCAATCATCGAGCTTGTTACCGTGTGGGAACAAGAACGTGGACTTGGATACCTTTATTGGAGACTTTGGAAGAATATTTTTATAATAGCATTTGGAATACTAGGTTTATTTACTGGTACCTATACTAGTCTATGTGAAATAACTTCAAATAGCAACTAGAATTGTCAAAGTAGGTTGTAATTTTTTGAAAATTAAAATTTTTAACCGTTTAAATAAATTTTTTTTTTTGTTATGCTTACTGATGTATATGATCTTATATGCATTAATGCGTGGTAATATGAACATGTAAGTGTACATATTTATATACATAGAAGAAATAAAGAAGAAGAATTGTATTATAAGAGGCAACATTAGATATTACTTTTGTCTTAGATAATTAAATAAATAAATAAAGTTGTTATCAGTTGACTTATACATAAGAATGTACTTTTTTAAACTTAATAAGGAAATATTCCTTTTTTCAAGTTTTTGTTAAATGAAAAACACATTTTAATTTTTTACGATATAAATACAGATTTCACTCTGGTGATGTTGATTAGATAACACTCTGGTGTGCTGTACAATGAAAATTAATTTTAGTTATTACTCATGTTTCATCATACTAAGTTCAATACATTTAAGTGAAAGAATGTACACACTTGTTTGAGGCACACATTTGTTGACACTACATATGGTTTTTATATTAAGGTACAAAAAGACGGTAAGATAACTACGCCTGACTTCGCATACAGTCATACTATACTAGGAGTGGAATATGACTTATACTTGTTCGAACGTAACAATGCCAACGCTCGCTGTTACTACTGTATGGCGCTACTAATATACATTGAAAATGTTTTCTACCTGAAAATAAAAACGTCATTACACTTAAGTAATAATTTCGTTTACACTGATAGCACCTGAATGGTTTAAATTATTACGTTGATTGCGGTTTTTTCAACAAGTTCCTTCATATATTTTTAGTTGGCAATTTGGAATCTGTAATATTGATTTTATGAAACAGCGACTCAACTGTATTTGCATGAGTTGTAACTAAATTTTGAACAACCAGCTCAGAAGGAGTACTTTGATTCTAGATTTCCGGTAAACATATCGTAGTCTTTAAGTTATGAAGTAAAGGTTGGAAATGATCGACGTATTTTTTTACAGATCAAATTATCCTCTATTTTTACCGTACAATAGTTGGACTTGGTTTGTCTAAGACTTCAGCTGTCACTCAATGACCATGCCTTTTTTTTTATATTATCATTTGTGTCAAAATTGATATTCATACTTCCTGAAGTATTTTTTTCTAAGCCTTTTCTTTGAAATTAATTGAATGGATTTTATTTAGTCCTAATACATTAAGCCAATCAAAACCTTCCTAACGTCTTATAGTTTTGCAGGAAATAATCTTGTTGTAGTGTGTGGAGTCAATTGGTAGTAAGAAATATCGTTACGTATGGCTTCTTGTTTTTTTGCCATTCTCTAACATATTTAACTAAAATTTATATTTTAATGGCTTAACTGCACTCTTATATAAAAACTTGCAAAATTTACTCAAAATTAAAGCGGAATCTTAATCTTTCTTTATCTATTTCCTTAGGATAAGCATCAGTAATGATCAAGTACATAAAGCTCAGAATAGGCGCTTAAAAACTGCGCATAAATGCGAAGATTTGAAAAATCTGGCCATTTCCAGACATGAAGTTAAGCCTTAGGTATATTTCTGCCATGTCATTAGCATAATCCATACCTTTTTGTCACGTTTCCAATTCTGTATCTATCTTGGGCCACTACACGTATGATTGAACCTGGGCTTTTATCTTGACTAGACTCATGTGGCTATTATGTAATTCAGATGAAATGGTACTACTCAAAGATTCTGGAATTGCTCCATAAAATACAATTGTCTTCTGACTAGATATCACATTGAGTTTTAAGATTTCTGTTCTTGTTAAGTTGTGTTCTATGTACTAATCAAATTTTATTATTGAAATTCCAATCGTTTTTACGTTCTTTTTAATAGAACTTGTTTTTTTAAATATTCAAGCATAACAAAATTTAAGGAACTACTTTTCTGGTGAACATATATGTATATGGTAGAATAAAAAAAAGAACATCTACAATTCATATCGAAAAAGTAATTTAATACATATTGATTCTTAAGATTTGTATTATTGTTTAATATGTATACTAGTTCGACTTTATGATCCACATTCAAATTATTTTTACGTTCTTCTAAATAGTACTTGTTTTTTGAACAGTGATAGCATACACAAATTAAATGAACTATTTTTTCTAAAGAATACGAATTTAAAGGTAAACAAAAATACGCAAATAATTTTAAATAAAAACAATAATACATGAAAATTGTCAATAAAACTTTTATAACTTATTGTATGACTTTTATACTCGTTGAATAAGCTATTTTTAAATTTTAATCAACTTACTATTTCATAATATATTTCTGTGAATCAATGTGTAAGAGAGGTGATGGAGCTGTATGATAATGATGACAATAAAATTGATTATAACGTCAGGAATAATCATAGTAATGACTTTTGTAGTATTCATAATAATGATACTAATAATAATAATGATAATAATAATAATAATAAAAATAATAATAATTATATTACCAGTTATAACAATAAAAATAAAAATGATGATAATGATACTAACAATAGTAATAATAGTAAGAGTTACGTTAATGATAATAACTGTGATAACTATGATGAGTTTAAATTCTTTTTTTTTTTTAAAGATTTCTATCTATTATTTTTATGAGAAACTAAATTTTGATGTAAACGTGTTTTACTCTTGAGTTATTAACAAATAATGCATGCATACATTGATATCGTTATCGTTTGGCTGTTTTTTTTTTTTTTTTTTTTTTTTTTTGTTGATTCCATATCATTCTCGGATATTTATTGTATTGAAAGTATTTGTTACATTGCATTTTTCTGTCAACTTTTAAGAAATATTTATCTTTATTAGTCATATAACAGTAAGAACATTAAAAAGTAAAGGGGACTGAAAAAAAATTTAAAAATCTTTTTAGATCATTGACTTTTCTTTTCAATTGACAATATGCTAGCAAGGAGCCTTCAATAAATATGGGGGGGGGGGGGTTGAGGAAAGCCAAGGTAGCTTGGCGAGTTTGGGATATTATTTTATTGAGTTAAAAGAGTATTGATACCAATAAAATTTTCTCTTATTTTGCTGTGTGATGTTAGGGAGGTGTAGGAAGTGGTAGCAGACAGTGAAGTGTATGGTAAGATAGTGTGAAAAGTTTCACCATAGCACACATAGAATATTAAAAGTCTGTATGGGTCGTTTTAAAGGACTTTGTAAGTAAGAATAGTAAGTAATTATGTATTGATATTTTATTTATTGCTAAATAAGATTATTAAATCACTTACTTTGCTGACCTGCAAATGTCCAGTCTTATCCAGAAATGATTTATCATGTTTTTATTAGTCTACTTTAGTTTTTGAAGTAGTATAATGATTATTATGATCAAAATCTACAGTCTTACGTAAGGATCACAATGTTTTGTACAAGAAACGATTTTTGACATTACTGGCTTCAGTTACTATTATCTACAACTTAATATAAGAGTATTTGATTTTGTTTGATTAAAGACGTATTAAGAGATATGAAATTGGCTTACCTCATTTGCTTTATTTTTTTTATTTTTTTCTTTTATTGTGGAGATTTGAATATTTTTTTGATCTTTTTTTTAATGTTATTACTGTGTCCTGTTATCATCCTTGTCTCCTGTGTATACTTTTATTTAATTACTTATTTTTAAAGTGTAATCTGCTTACTATATAATGAAATCAATTTTTTATTTTCTTTACGTTTATTAAGCCTTTATAATATTGATATCGACATAAATACAAGCGATATCTGGCTACGAATAACAAATTGACAAGTAGTACACTTGACAAAATAAATTAACTAGTTGACACTCCATAAGCGGTAAAAAGCTACTAAGTGGGGGACGTTAGTAGATTTTCTTCTTTTATCAAGTGTCAACTAGCAAAAAAATAAGAAAATTTAGTAAGATCTTTTAATTATGTTAGGATGATACTTTTTTATCTAGAACAAATGTCATTATGTATACTTAAAACTAAAATTTTACGAAATATCTCTCAACGAATGCATATACAACAGTTAGGGAACCTCAGTTTTAGTTATTAATATAATATATATAAAAGTTTGTTGCGGGGACACTTGAAAACGTTCTAGTCTACGTAATATAAGAAGCACATTGAAAGCAAACACTGTGAGGTCAATTAAAAAATTTGCGTTATAACATAAAATAATAGTAGACCTCAACAACTATGTATATGCATATTTCTGTACCTTCACTACCCTTACTTGTGCGAACGTCTCTTTCATTTTCTGGTCCCTATTCAAAACGTCAATGATTGCTCTTATGTAACAGTGGACTTCAACTAGCAAAGGTAGGTGGTTAATCAAAAATCTCAGAAAGGGTAAGTACAAGGAGATTTTTTAAATTATACATTACGAATCATTACAATTGTTGTTATTTTTTTTTAATGAGAAAATGTTGTAAACAGAAGATGTATACGAAGGTTCCAAATAATTTTTATGCAGATGCCTAATGGTCGTAAAGTTAGATGTGTTGATTAATATTATAAGTGTAATAATGCTTTATTAATTTAAGTTTCTCTATTTGCCTTATATTTTTTGGAAAGTACGATTCCGATTGAATTGCAATCAAGTTGATATAAATAAATAATCTGATAATAAACACTTTTATTTATGCAATATATTTACTGCGTGCTCAGGCCAGGACTTATGAAGAATCTGATGACAAATGAAATAAATAATACTTGCGGTAGTGTAAAAAAAGTAAAAACGAACCTATATGGAACTTCTTATTGAATAATAATCTCATTTAGTAAGCTTATGTAAAGTAGTCCGCTGAGTACTGCTCGCGAGTAAGAGAGAATAAGATGATATGTGTGAACTTGTATGAATGTATGTGCACGCGCGCATGTGAGACTTCTAGACTCTTGCGCTCCGAGAGCCAGTTCACGTCTGCTCGCTACGCTATACGCATCGCTATGAGTCACTTTAGTTTCCTTATAATAACTTTTTATAAATTCTAAGCGTTTCACATTTCTTTTTTTTTTTTTGAAGTGTAAAGAGGAGTTAATTAATATTAAATAAATCAGTTTTCATTAAACTAGGTGTTCAGTGTATTAATAAAGTGCCAGACGACTTGGTCATTGTAACAAACTTTCTCATCTTCCCTCTCTTCCTTGCTACTTATCCGGTGGTAATTAAAATTTAAATTAGACAGTTCACTTACTGACGTCTGTAT